TTATACTGAGTACAATATTGTATAACTGTATTAATTCAACTGTAAACCTAAAAATTTACAGCCAGTTTTGAAACAGATGCATCTTAGCTATGGAAATTGTTATTGAATATGTCAATGCTGTTGTCATGAAGTGCTTCTTCTAATTATGCTGTTATTAAAAAAGTAATTTTAAAAAATATGGAATCAGAAAAGATACTGAATAGCCAAATCAATCCTGAACACAAGTAACAATGTTGGGGGGATTAACATAACAGATCTCAAACTACAATATAGAGCTATAGTCATAAATTCAGCATGGTACTGAAAAGCAGACATACAGCTCAATGGAGCAAAGTAAAAGACCCAAATACCCGGTATTTGACAAAGGTGCCAAGAAAACACACTGGAGGAAAGACAGCATCTTCAACAAATGGTGCTGACAAAACTGGATCTCCATGTGTAGAAGAATGAAATTAGGCCCATGTCTATCATCTTGCACAGAAATCAATTCCAAATAGAACAAAAACTTCAATGTGAAACCTGAAATGCTAAAATTGTTAGAATAAAATATAGGTAGGACCCTACAAGATATAGGTACAGGAAAGGACTTTCTAAATCAGATATCAGTTGGTCAGGAATTAAGGTCAACAATCAACAAATGGAACATCATTACCATATGTGTTAGGAATTACCATATGTGGCAGAGTAAATAAGTCTGGTGACAGGATGGGGGAGGCAGGGATAGGGGAGGGGGTCTGGGTTTGATTCAGAACTGTTGTATGAGAATACAGACGCTCAATAAAAAAATTCAAAAAAAAGAAGAAATAAAAATGGTTAAGAGACATCTTTAAAACATCATTACCATATGTGTTAGGAATTACCATATGTGGCAGGGTACATAGGTCTGGTGACAGGATGGGGGAGGCAGGGATAGGGGAGGGGGTCTGGGTTTGATTCAGAACTGTTGTATGAGAATACAGACGCTCAATAAAAAATTCAAAAAAAAAGAAGAAATAAAAATGGTTAAGAGACACCTTAAAAAGGGTTTGAGATCTTTAGTAATTAGGGAACTGCAAATCAAAACCTCTTTAGGATTTCAACTTAGCCCAGCCAGAATGGCTGAGATCAAGAGAATAAATGACACCAGATGCTAAGGAGGGTGTGGGGAAAAGAGGACCCTCATCCACTGCTGGTGCAGCCACTGTGGAAATCAGTGTGGAGAAATCTTAGAAAACCAAAAATAAAACTACCATGTGATCCAGTTATATCACTCCATGGCCAAAAATAATAATTGAAAAAAATGTGATACTCACTCACAATTTTCCACCCACTAAATAATAACATAATAATCAGTATAAGTTCAAGAATCCTTAGATTCTCCCCCATTCTGCTAGTGAAGTATTATCTTTCTCTGGTCTTTACATACATGACTGAGTAGGTTATTGATCCAATCAAAAGTTGGAAGCACAGTCTCATCCAAGCATGTGCTCATTTTCTGAGTATTACGTTTTCCTTCTGTGTCCAACTATACCATCCATCTTATAGATATGTACCCTTGTTTACAATAAATCCCACATTCCCTCAACTAACCTCTCACTTATGACTGGGCACCATCTTAATAAATACAAATGAGATACTTTCTTGAGACTAAGACCTTCTAGGCTTTAGCTTAGAGAAAAAGAGATAAAGCAAAATGGCCGTGATACAGTGCGATAGGGTAGAGCAGAGCCATACCATGGAGTAACATGGAGAAAAAGATTCATTTTAAGTATATTTGATGTCATGAAAGATGTCAGAAATAAGCTTTGGTGGGCATTGAAAGAGTTTCAAGAGTTTGCTAAGTTGATAAAAGAGGAGAAAACAACATTCTAGGTAAATGGAATATTCTAGGCATAAAAAAATGGCATGGGGTTATCACTCTTTTCTTCACATTCTATAAGAGAGTGATCTTCCTTTTGGGTGTATGACTTCAGTCACGCTGGGACCTCAGTGACCTCATGTGTAAGGAATTAACAAAAATTGCATCCACCTCAGAGAGTCCTTGTGAAATGTAAATAAGATAACAATTACAGAGGACTCAGAAAATTCCTGGCACACAGTAGACATTCAACAAATTATAATTATTAGGATTATCTCATCTTCCATTGGGAATGCACAAATTTAAATGTCTAATCGTTGCTTTGTTTACTAATACAAGAATCCTGGGAATAGCCGGCAAGCTCTTTCCTATGTATATGTCCTGTTTCTCTTAAGCATGTATAGGATATGGATTAGACTTAAGTATTTCTCTTTTGTATCAAACAAAGTATCTCCATACATTGTTGAGAGAAAAGAACTCAGAATATGGAAAAATATACTTTCTTTTAAAAATATTTTTATTTATTCTTCAAGAATTTCATGCATGTATAGAATGTGTTATGATCACTAGATGGTACGTACTCACTGGCATGTGTTGACTTAGCAAAAGTTACTTCGCAATGTTCTACTATGACACCATATTCTCAAAACCACTTTGCCAACACTCTAATAATTTTTAAGGGTTCATCATGTCAAACACTTTTGCTAATAATAAAGTAATTATTCTATGCCTAAGGCTGACAGACTATAGTGGAACTGGGGGTAGAGAGAACATTAACATATCCCTCAAACTCTCACCAGTGAAGCTTTCTCAAGCAATAGAGTGTGATGCACACAGAGGACCACAACTGGCCAAAGTTTAGAGAATAAGAGACTGCGGAGCACATGTTCCTGGATAAAACTCCTATATTAAACCTCACCCACCCACGGCTCAGGGACCATTGTGGAAAAGGGGAGAGGAAGATTGTAAGAGCCAGGGTTGGTGTTTGAACCTAAGGAAATGGAGTCTTCCAAACTCTGGGAACTTGCTCATATGAACTTATAACAGTGGTGACACCTTGCACAAGACCCATGCAAACTCAATCAGACAAAAAACCAGCGTAGAACTGGGGAAATGGGCAGCAGGCCCCAAATTTAGCCAACCAGCTATTGGCAGCTGATTACTATTGGGTTAGGGAGAGTTGATATTTTTTAAGGGAGTGACTCTAAATGACTAGACTCTAGTGAATGAACTTGCATCAGGGGACATCTAGGTACAGAAACTTGACTCCATAAGGCTTAACATATATGACAGACTGCATGAAATCTGGTGAGCGGGGGTATATGGGGGTGTGGGAAAAAGGAAAAAAGTAGTTATTCATTGCAGCTTCAAATTGAATAGATTCAATAAGACAAAAATAGATAGAATATTTCCCGGAGTCCTTTGCACCTCAGGAAATGCAGAGGAATCATAATATTCCTCACTGCTTGTGAGCTACCACCTCCACACACCCCAAATGTGAATATTTCATCCTGTTTTCCTACCAGTAGTCCATATGACTTGCTTTTAACCTATTTGATGGCAGGGATTTAGTCACTATAAAGTCTATTCTCAACATTTATCCTGGTTAAGTCCAAAAACAAAGAATTAACATTCAGTCCAATGAAACGAGGGTTGAGTAATGTGTCCATATAAGGGGATATATCAAAGGAAAACAGAGCTGATTCACTTGGCTTCACCAAACTAGATAGCTCATAATGCATCAGGAAAAAGGAAGTAGAGCCTTTTCCATATATAGGAATATTTACCAGATAAACAAATCTAATTAACTAGAGCTAACTGATCTTCCGTTGTATAAACAAGATTCCTCACGTGCTCATTAGCTCTCAGCAGGGTATAAAAAGCAAGAAAGGGCAACAAGAGATCAAACTAAGACATCTCACCAGCTCGAAAACCTACCCACAACCTCCTCCTCTGACACCATGGTCAGCTCCTGTTGTGGCTCTGTCTGCTCCGAGCAGGAGAGCTGCTGCCAGCCCAGCTGCTGCCAGCCCAGCTGCTGCCAGCCCAGCTGCTGTGTGTCCAGCTGCTGCAGGCCCCAGTGCTGCATCTCCAGCTGCTGTCGTCCCACCTGCTGCCAGCCCAGCTGCTGCATCTCCAGCTGCTGCCAACCCTCCTGTGGCAGTTCCAGCTGCTGTAGCTCCAGCTGCTGCCGTCCCTGCTGTCGCCCCTGCTGCTGCCTGCGCCCAGTCTGTGGTCAAGTCTCCTGCCACACCACTTGCTACCGCCCAACCTGTGTCATCTCCACCTGCCCCCGCCCCATGTGCTGTGCCACCCCCTGCTGCTAAATCTTCCCTTTGTAGGCACCGCCTCATCTTCTCGTTCCCTACAGATGAAGTTCTTCCTTCTAGAAAATGTGCACTGCTCAAGAGACTTGATCTCCTGAGTCCCAGATGCCAGTATCATTTGTAGTTATTTTGTGTGCACATTGTGAACTCTGTCCGAACTCCTTCCTTTTTTAAATGAATTGCTTTAAAATCTCCCAGTTAGTTAACAGATTGTACCACCTTCAGCATACCTCCTTTCATCTTTCTCCTATTCAGCATGCTCAAGGAATTTAAAGATTATCTCCAGAACTTGTAGAGCCACAAATTGTAACCCTTCTGAGGTTGAAATTTAATAAAGTGTCTATTTTATACCCTTTGCAAAGATTTCCATGTACTTTGTTATCTGTGTACCAACAAAAAAACCCAACAATTGAGCAATGAAAATTGAAATGCGGTTATTGTGTTCAAAAAATGAGATCAGGCCAGTGAAACAGTTCAATAGGTCAAGGCGCTTGTCAGCAAGTCTGATCTGAGTTCCATCCCTGAAACCCACATAGTAGAAGAGAAATAAGTCCCACAAGTTCTTCTGTGATCTCCACAAGCATGCCACAACAAATACAAACACCACACACACACACACACACACACACACACACACACACACACTGCAATAAATGTACAAAAATTTAACAAACAAAAAAGAAGCCTTCCTGGGTAATTGTATTTTGCATATTCTTATAAGGCAGACAGCACACATTAGTCAAGTTTCCAACACAAATCAAATGATATTAATCACTACCTAGTTTTCTCTTCAAGTCTTCTTAGTCTCAGGCAAATAAACTAATCACCTTTTAGTTATTAGAAAAAAGGAATTAAACTAAAGCTGTGGCGTGTCCATGAATATAATAACAGGGAAAATTATTTGGAAGGACTGCAAACAAATGCATACCATATTTTGGATTCTTTGGTTAAAAAGTAAAAGTTTCTAAATCCCTTCTTTCGTATGCACTCTTTTATTTAAAAGGATGGGGTTCCAGGTGGGAATCCCCCCAGCAATAAAGTCTGTCAATGTTTGGAGGGGAAAAAAAGTAAAAGCAGCACTAGATTGTTTAGCAAAATCTTTATATTTTCTACTTACAGTTAAGTGAAAGGAATCTTTTCTCCATATATACAATGGATAGGCTTAAGATAAAGTGTTTTGTCAGTAGGAGATAGAGGGGCATGTAGAGTGGCCACCTCAGAGCCAGTGAGGGAGGTGAAGGCTAGGGAAGTCCCATTGCTGTGGCTAGAGATGGTGGCTTTTTCTATAAGCTGGACCCCTTTTCCAGTATGAAACATAAAGACCCACATTCCTTTCCTCCACTTAGGGATGTGGCAAACAAGTCATTCCATCTTCTGACCTCTCCAGAAGCTCAACTGAGTCTTCCCACAAGATTGCCTTCCGATTTTGATTCCTCCCAGTATCCAACCCTACTATCTTCCCTCTCCTACCCTAGAGCATGTCTCAGTAAACCCCCAGCATGCTGACCCCCGTGTCTGTGTCTGTTCCCTGAAGATTTCCACCTGTTCATGGCAGAAGCTTTGAGAGCTGGAACAATTCATTAACATGTATGCTTAATATTTCAGTGCATGACAGAAATCAGAATATAAACATAATGGCAGAAAATATATTTAACAGAAGCTATGGAAAAAATGATCAACTTTCTATAAGTCACATATATTCTTTTTCAAGAACTTTCCCATCACTTGAACACAAACGTGGTCTTCAAATTTTAAAACAGCATAAAACCCTGAGATCAAAAGGAAATTCCCCTTCATGAATCATTGCTAATCTTGTTCATGAGTCACTGGTATGTGTTGTAACCTTATTAAGTACATGTGTATACACACAGGCATTTATTCACACATCTCGCTTTTGTTGTGTTTCTCATTCTGCCCTTTATTCAAAGATCATGTGGTATCCATGAACTGTGACTGCTTTCTCCCATCTAGGGCAAGTATATTGCTGGGTAGATTTGTTTGCATTCTTAAATATTTTTGTGAGACTGATGAGTATATTTTCTCCATTATATTTTATGAAAGATTGTTTCTCATGTATAAAAAAAATCTATCAGTTTTCCTAAGTTTGTATTTTACTGACCTCATCATTAACACCAATGCTCAACCTGTTCTCTAAGATATTCTAAGGAGATGATGACAGCAACTGAGTCTTTCCAGGTTGAGGCATTTCCCCATAGTGCTCCTTGTTACCCACAACGTAACCCCATAATTCACTCTAACATTTTGGATTTTCTCCCTCTTCTGATTGTTTTTGCCAATTCTTCTCTTCTGCTGTCTCCTTCTGGGGGGTCTTCTGAGATTCCACTGCAAGTAAACCACTTGGGTCTTTTTCTTGGGTTCTATATTACAAAAAATTCAAGCAAAGATAAGAGGTGTTCAAAAAGTATTTGTGCGTAATTGATACTATTCATAACAATAAGAGCAAACTGGGAAGTCAGGAGGTAAAAGGAAATGAGTGTGACTATTTGGTACGTGCCATCTTGTTATCTCTTTTCCCTGTGTGAATAGAGACGTGTAAGTTAAGAGCAGTATTAGTGGATATCTATAAACCAGTCTCATTCTATAAATCACAGCTTTTTTTCCTAAACATGTATTTATCAGGTGGCATGCCACTTGCCTAATAAATAATACAAATATTTGAGTAAAGAATTGATTAGATAAGTTTGCTCGTTATTTTTGTCACCTTGACATAAATTGAAGACTGTTGGAAGGAGGGAGCCTTACCTGAGGAATTACCTCAATTTCTGTGGAGTAATTTCTTCTTGATATAGGAAAGCCCAGCCCATGATGCATGGTACCACCCTGGGCAGGTGGGCCTGAACTATATAAGATGAGTGACTGAGCAGGCCAGGGGTAAGAGAGGAACCAAGTCAGTAAACAACACTCCTCCCCAGTCTCTGGTTCAGGTCCTGCCTCCAGGTTCCTATCTTGAGTTCTCTTATCTGACTTTCCTCAAAGATGTACTTTGCCTTGGAAACATAAGATGAAATGAAACCTTTCCTCCCAACTTACTTTGATCAGTGTTTTATCACAGCAACAGAAAGCTAACCAGGACAATCAGTAAAAATAGTTTTCTCAAAGAGAACCGTGATCCACGTTTTGGACTTTTCATTGTCTTTTCTCTAAGAGTTATTCACACATATCTATATCAATATTGCTATAGATATAAACTAGAACAGTGACATGATCCAATGCTTTTATTCACTCAGCAAAACTTTATCACCAGTGTCTTCATTTCTTGCCCTGTGCTGAATACCATGTAAATAAAAATAAATGTCACAGCCTATGCCTTTCAGAGTATTTAAATTTTGCCTGGGGAATGGAAGAGGTCAATAATTGTGATAGTGTAGAACGTGTTGAACTACACACACAATGCAAGGAATCATGATATATAAATAAATCATTTATTAAGAAAGATATCCAGAGGAAATACCTCAAATGACTCTTGACAGATGAGGAGGAATTTGCAGCACTGACAGCAAGCATCCAGGAAGATGAGACAGTTCCAGGATACATGTGCAAGCTTGATTCTTCATACCTCTTTTGGCTTCTCAGAGATATGTTAGGCTCACTTTTTGTTTAATCTTACACATATATTTTTGGCTTCTTCCACTCAATGAATAGGGAGAACACAGTATTTCGTGGGATTGCATTAAAAAGAAAATCAATTCAAGAGAATCCACACAAAGCCTGTTACATACTAAACTCTTTACAAAGTATACACACACAGAGGATATATGGAACATATCCACATAGTGTGTGTGTGTTTTGAATTTATCTTTTTCATTAAAGTAATTGGAATTCTTTAATTTTTACAAGATATGACTTATTTTCCCTACCCCTGCAATGCCCAGCAGAAGCTCTTATATTTATATTACCAAAGTTAGTAATTCTAAATATTATTTATATATAAAAATGTGGGCTGGTAAGATGTAGGTTAAAGACACTTGCTGTCAATCTTGATGACCTGAGTTTGATCTCTGGGATCCACATAGTGAGTGCACCCACATACAAAATGAATAAATAAATGTATGTAACAAAATGTTAGAAAATAATAGTACCTACTCCATAAGTTTAAAAAATACCTCTGTGAGTAAAAACTTCACTGCACAATTTTATAATCGAAAGATAAATAAAAATTCCTCACTTTTAATGTCTCTCCTGAAGACCTACAACAAAACTGAGTTTCTACTATTTCTGAATGATGAGCCATAGGAATTTCTTTTACAATGTGGAGATAATCTAGAATAAAGATCTTTACCTAACCTTGTAAACAAAAAGTTACTGTCTATAATGTAAACAAGTTCACTGAACTATGTAGTCTTCTTATCCCTCAGAACCCCTCCTTGGCCTCTACCCCAGATAGTATAAAACAGAGTGTAGATGTGCTATGGGTATATATGCTTTGCATATCAGAGCTCTGAAAGCTGCATGCTTTTCTCATTGCAAATAATGAGAGAAATCTGTTGTGTATATGATATTCTAGGCTTAGGGATCAAGGCGCAAGAGTCTCTGATAAGATAGGGGTGGGTCCTGACTCCTAATTCCCCATTTCATGTTGGACATACTGGTTCAATAGAAGAATGAGCTAAGGCCCTGGCTCAGGAGCACAGCTCCAAGGGAAATCTGAAGGAACACGTTCTCAGAGTTAAGGTCCATCTACTCTTGGCCTTAAAATGGATGCTGAGAGTTGGTTCTTTCAAAGCATCATTGTAATGTGGCTTAGAAAAGAGCAATGAACCTTTGCCAAGTGTCTCAGTTTGAGAACTGACAATTTAGAAGTTTTTTGAGTCTGATCATTTAATGATCCATAAAAGATCATCACAATTCCTGTGACAGATGGGACACTCTCCCTTTAAATGGTCTTTCTAATTCCTCTCCCGCATTTTGCCTGGACAAAACATTTCTTTGACAACAAAATTCATCTTAGCATTTGTGAAAAAGTTCCCACAATTTTTAAGAAACAGTGTACAGGTAGGTAAGACTGTCACATTTAGAAAACAAAATGCCAAAGAGTTGTGTGATGAGTACTTTTGTGAAAGACATGGCATGAAACAGAAACAAAAGTGGCCCATTAAGGAAGAAATGCCTCAAGTGTTTCAATTGCAAACACCAGGAAAAGGAAATATCTTTCTTTCTTGGAGTATTTAACTAGGAGCATACAATTATGTAATTAAATGGTCAAGTTTTCCAAGAAGGTAAATAATAACAAGGAAATAATGACGTCGTCAGATGAGGCCTTCAGCAGGGTATAAAGGGGGAGGTGGGATAGGGAGACTTCCAAAGCCAAGACCTTCATTCCCTTGAAAACCCACCCAGAACCTCCTCCTCCGACACCATGGTCAGCTCCTGTTGTGGCTCTGTCTGCTCTGAGCAGGGCTGTGGCCAAGGCACCTGCCAGGAGAGCTGCTGCCAGCCCAGCTGCTGCCGGCCCACCTGCTGCAGGACCACCTGCTGCCGGCCCAGCTGCTACCGGCCCAGCTGCTGCAGGCCCCAGTGCTGCATCTCCAGCTGCTGCCCTCCCACCTGCTGTCGCCCCAGCTGCTGTGTGTCCAGCTGCTGCAGGCCCCAATGCTGCATCTCCAGCTGCTGTCGTCCCCCCTGCTGCCAGCCCAGCTGCTGCATCTCCAGCTGCTGCCAACCCTCCTGTGGCAGTTCCAGCTGCTGTGGCTCCAGCTGCTGCCGTCCCTGCTGTCGCCCCTGCTGCTGCCTGCGCCCAGTCTGTGGTCAAGTCTCCTGCCACACCACTTGCTACCGCCCAACCTGTGTCATCTCTACCTGCCCCCGCCCCATGTGTTGTGCCATCCCCTGCTGCTAAGATCTCTGCTCTAGGTTCATGTCCCCCTTTACCTCCATTCCTGCAGATCCAGATCATCCATGGAATCAGCACACTCTGGTCCATTTTTAAATTCTCTTCTTTGCTTTGGTTTCTTTCCAGTGTTAGCATCGAGTAAAACAACTTGTAGCCCATTAGCTAAGAAAGTATTGCAGTCTTCCAAATTAATTAACTTTGTGGCTCTAGATTATTCTTCCCAGTATGTTAGCTATGATCTGTAGGCCCTGTCTTGGCACTGACATTACATCCTCAGACTCGAGGACACAGTGTATCTTGTATTATCCCTACAGTGAATTTATGTTCTATTTCTCCTTTCCTTTCTAATAAACTTTTCTACACATAAAATTCATTGACATTGTCCTCTATTGTCCTCTACGGTTATTTTATTCAATAATTGAGGATGTATTTTACCTGAAGAGTCATGTTGCAGCCATTACACAAAAATAAATATTATCTGAAATACAGGTAACAAGATATTAGCAGGAAAGTAGGGTGCATATTTGTGTTTGTGCATGTGTGTACATGTGTCTGCATGTGTGGGTCTTAATATTCAAAGTTAGGAAAACCCTAATTCACATCCTTGCCTTTAATTAAAACATACCCTTAGTATATTATACTTCTTACTATCATTGGCTACATTTTATAGAAAAAAGTAAAACCAAACTACTGAGGGAAAAACACACACACACACCAATGAAATCAAGAAAATCTACTAAGAATCGAAGAGTCAGGTGTGACGATCTATGTTTGCAATCCCAGTATTCAGGAAAGCTGAGTCAGGACTGTCATGAGTTTGAAGCAAGCCTGGACTACAGAATGAATATTAATATGAAAAATAACATGCTTGACTCATCTCACTTAATAAAGAAGCATTTCAGAATTTGTAATCACAAAGTGAGTTATATTTACCATTGAGCTCCTTCCATGAAAAGATGCACATTTCATTGTATTATAAGGAAATATGACTCATTTGGACGGTGTGGTATGTTTCTGAATGTGTTCTCTAAGGATGTATTTCAAACATTTCCACAATTAATACACTGACAGATGCTCACCCTTTGAGGCTGGACTCCCAAAACTCATTTTCTCTTTGGAAGGATTTTTAAAATTAGAATTAGGTCATAATACCCAGGCATGATGGATGGTGCATATCCCAGCTCAGAGGCTGAGCTCAAGAGGCTCAGGCAGGAGAATTGCTTGAGTTCGGGAGTTCAAGGACGCTTTGGGCAACGTAGCAGGATCCTATGGGCAAGGGAAAGGCAGGAGAGAAATGAGAAAGAATTAGTACACAGCTGGCATACACACCAGAGCCTCATTCTCCAGGCACGGCCCCTGCACAAGACTTTGAAAACACATGGTGTTTGTGCCTTGGCCCTCCAAGGGCCAAGTAGGAATGCCTGCTATTGAGGTTTTCATTAATGTTAAAACTTACCTATTATGAGGCTCTGAAATAGCCCTTAGCTGTTAGACAAAAGCAGTTGACGATGATTTGTTCAGATGTCACTGCTAAGCTTCTCGTTCCCTCAGAGGTCTTTAGAGAAGTGTGGCCAAGAGCTTTTATTTATTTAAAAAACACTTTGAATTTTCTAAATATTTTATTGAATTTTTGTGCATTTCATATAATAGATCTTAATCAGATTTAGACCTTCCTCCCCCATCTGTGCCCTCCACCACCACTGGATTTCAGGCATTCTGTCATATATGTTAAATCCTATCTGGTCAAGCATTTGTATCCTGATGTCCCTCTGTACAAGTTCATCCACTGGAGTCTTGTCAGTCTATATAGAGTCTCTGCCTTAAAGAAGACCTGCTCTCCTTCACTCAGCAATAATCAGTTGCCAGTAGTTCTTAAGCTGGGGTTGGGGCCTGCTGTCCATTTCCCTCATTCTATGCTGGGTTTTTGTCTGATTGAGTCAGCATGGGTTTTACACATGCTGTCACCACTGCTGCAAGTTCATATGAGCAAGTTCCCAGTGTCTAAAAACCTGTTTCCTTATGTTCATGTACCAATCCTGGCTCTTACGATCTTTCCATCCTCTCTTCCACAATGATCCCTGAGTCATGAATGAGTAGGTTTAATATAGGAGTCGTATCCAGGGATCCGCACTCTGCAGTCTCTTGTTCTCTAAAACTTGGCCAGTTGTGACCTCCCACGTGCATTGCACTTTGTTGTATGAGGAGGCTTTGCTGGTGAGAGTTGAGAGATGGATTAATAGTCTCTCTCTCCCCCGTTCTGCTATGATCCATGAGCCTTGGGTGTAGAGATTCCTTTGTAGATGTGTTGTTTAGGGCTGGGTATATATCCTCTGTGTGTGACCAGTTGTGGAACTCTGTCATAGCATCCACATGTTGCAAAAATAAAAATAAAAAGAAGCTTCTTTGATGAATGGCGAATGGTATACGTGTCTGAAAGTGTAAGGATCCATATTTAGCATACAGTAAGAAATTTCATTTGTTTAGAGATCTGCCAGAGATGGGGTTTTCTCTAGAATCTATGATCTTTCCAGCCGTGTGTATTTGGCTATATTTACAGTGTCACCCATGAGTTCCCTCTCAATGAAAGGATTTAAATCCAATTAGATAGCTGTTGATTACCACCTAGGTAACAGTACCACTGCTGCACCAATAGAGGTAGATTGCTCTGCCAGTCGTTGTGGTTATGAGGCTTTAGAGTTGGGTTGGACCGTTGATTGATTTTCTCCCTTAGCAGCTTGCACAGTGTCCTCTAGAACTACGAGAACCAGTCTTCTGGCAGAAGGCTCCCAGGTTGGTTCCAGCTCCCTGAGTCCAAGTCCTGTGTCTGCAGTATGTCCCGTCTTCAGCAATAGAGTCTTACCTTCGAGTTCTGGGAGGTAATCAAGGGCTCTGGCAATAGCCTGTGTTATTTGGGGAGCCTCTTGGACTATTCTGACCATCAAAGGGAGGTTTCTCCTGTCTGGCACTGTGCTCCTTGTTACATGGCCTTCAGGTACACTTGTGCTCATGGTAAGATATTGTATGTGTATTTTTCAGGGGCTGGCTGTTGAGTTAGTACATGTCCCTTTGGCTTATTATCGCCTAAACTTGATTTAGCTTCTCTTTCTTTCTCTCTCACTCTCTCTTCTCTCCTCTTTCTCTATCTCTCCCTGTCTAACCACCCTCCTCCTTCTCCAGTTTAAGTGCCCCCATTTCCTTTTGATAATACCTGTGTCCTATTATTTCCCCTTAAATTTATTCTTTGAAATTGTCATATATGTATACAATGCGTCTTGACCATATCTATCCCACCCCCAAACTCCCCCTAAGTCCATATCTCCCTCCCAATTTCGTGTGTGTGTGTGTGTGTGTGTGTGTGTGTGTATCCCACTGAATTCAATTAATGCTGCCCATATGTGCACAGATGTGGAGACAATACCTGTAGTATGGCAACCTAAACAATGACACCTTGAAATAATCCCATCTCATACAATTCATTTGAGATCTCTTTAACTGAATCAAGGAGGAATAAGTAGGATGAAATACACTTTAAGTTTGACACAGACAAGAATGGATATTAATACAATAACCTAAGTTCTAAAATCAGAGAAATTTAAATCAGTTGCAACATTGGGGGTTTATACATACATTTGAATTTTATTTTTGTGTGATCTTGGAGCAGGTTACTCTTGTGGGTTCATACTGAAGTCATCCATGGTAGCCACACCTTGAGATTCACTCTATTTTTCATTAGGATATATCAACTGTACAAAGGAATTGTTTTCAGTTTTATAGTTCATAGTTCATTTAATGAACTTTGATAATATTCAGTCTCTGTTGGCTTGCTTATCTCCTTCCACATCCCTCATAATCTCCATTTTACTTTCGTGTCCTTTTGTTTTTCTCCTCTCCAAATCTACATTTGAGAGAAAGCATAATATTTGTCTTTTTGAGTCTGACTTACTTTGCTTAACATGATCTCCGGTTCCATCCAAGTTTCTGAAAAGAGCACCCTTTCATTTTTGTTCATTTTTTACTGGTGTATTTTAATTACACAAAATGACAGAGTCAGTATGATATTTTCATACATGTACATAATATACCTGCAACACATTCCCCCCTCTTGTCCTCCTCCCCCCATCACATCCCTCCCTCACCCCCCTCCTGTCCTTCCTCCCTCCCATCACATCCCTCCCTCACCCCCCTCCTGTCCTTCCTCCCTCCCATCACATCCCTCCTCACATCCCTCCCTCCCCCCCCTCCTGTCCTTCCTCCCTCCCATCACATCCCTCCCTCACCCCCCTCCTGTCCTTCCTCCCTCCCATCACATCCCTCCCTCATCCCCCTCCTGTCCTTCCTCCCTCCTATCACATCTCTCCCTCACCCCCCTCTTGTCCCTCCTCCCTCCCATCACATCCCTCCCTCACCCCTCCTCTTGTCCTCCCACTGGTCCCTTTCCTATCCTTCATTTTCTTACAAACTAATCTGTTTTTCTTTTTTCTCAATGTATACTTCTATTAAACTTTTGTGCATTTCATGCAACACACCTTAATCATATTTAGACCACCTCTCCTATCTGCATGGCCCTATAACCCCCCACCAGATTTCATGCATTCTGTCATATAAGTTAAGGCTTATTGAGTCAAGTTTGTGTACCCAGATGCCTCTCGGTGTGAGTTAGACAGCCTAGCCAGAGTCACTCCCTTAAAGAAGATCAACTCTCCCTCACCCAGCAGTAATCAGCTGCCAATTTTCCTTGGCTAAGGTTGGGGCCTGCTGCCCATTTCCCCAGTTATGTGCTGGCTTTTTGTCTGATTGAGTTTGCATGGGCCCACGTGCATGCTGCTACCATTGCTGTGAGTTCATATGAGCAAGTTCCTGGAGGCCTGAAAGATTGTTTCCTTATGATCTTGCCCCATCCCTGGCTCTTACAGTCATTCTGCCCCCTCTTCCATAATGGTGCCTGAGCCACAGGTGGTTGAGATTTAATATAGAAGTCCTATCCATGGACACATAATTCTTCAGTC